CCCATCCACATTCTAGCACATTCCCAGATGGTCCTTTTAAAGCTGGGAACTTCCTGTTTTGTTTCCCATACACATTTGTTTTTTTTTTAAATTTGAGTCAGGCCTGGTCTACAAAGTGAGCTCCAGGACAGCCAAGACTGTTACACAGAGAAACCTTGTCTCAAACAAAACAAAACAAAACAAAACAAAAATTTGAGTTAGAATCACAATTTGTAGCCAAGGCTGGCCTGGAATTTTCTCTGTAACCCAGATTAAGCTTGGAACTGGAAACCTCAAACTCTCCAGTGCTGGGATTACAGGCATTAGCAACCACATCTACCAATTCCAATAATGTTTCTAAATCATAATTTCCCCTTCCATAAAACAACAACAAAAACAAAATGTTTCCTGATACCAACTCTGTGAAGCCACTTTGAAAATGAGGGAAGTCTGGAATACTTTTATTTGAACCAAAATTAAAATTAAAATCAGGGATGGATCGATGGCTCAGCAGAGCATTTGTTGCTCTTGCAGAGGACCTGAATTGAGTTCCCAGCACCTAGGTCTGGTGGCTCACAACTGCCTGTAATTCCAGCTCAAGGGCATACAACGTCCTCTATGGGTATCTGCACTCACTTGGCATACACAGACACATACACTCACACACATAAAAATAAAATAAATCTTTTTTAAAAAGTAGGGCATGGTAGCCAGCATACATATAATCCAATTACTCAGCAGATAGAAACTGAAAGATCATGAGTTCAAAGCCAGCCTGTCTCCAAATAATAATAATAATAAAAGTGTGTGTGTGTATGTGTGTGTTTGTGTGTGTGTGTGTGTCCAATTTGTAATCTCAGCACTTGGGAAGCTGAGGCAGGAGGACTGCCTCAAGTTAGAGGAAAGCCTGGGCTATGCTGAGACCCTATCTCTAAGATAAACCAAGACTGTCAGGGACAGTGGTTGGCATGTTTAGTCCCAGGACTTGGGAGGCAGAGGTAGAAGGGTCTGTGAGTGGGAGGCTGCACAGTGAAACCATCTCAATAAAAACAAAAGCAAAGGTTAGAGAGCTGGGCCAGCATTAAGAGCACTGGTTACACCTCCAGATGACCAGTGTATGGTTCCCAGCACACACATGGCTGCTCACAACCACCTGTAACTCCAATTCCAGGGGATTCCACACCCTCTTCTGGCCTTCAAGGGCACTGTGCACAAGTGGCACATAGACATGAGAGCAAAACACTTATACACATTAAATATTTAAAAAAACAAAACAAAATTAACAAGGGCTGTGATTGGAGCTCAGTGGGTCGTGTGCTTGTCTATGAGGCAGGAAACTCTGGGTTCCACACCAGTACCCCAGAACTAGGAACAAGGGTGCATGTCTGTAATCCCACACTCAACAGAGATGGAGGCAGGAGAATCTGAAGTTCAAGGTCATTTTCAGATCTGAGTTCCAGGTCAGCTTGGACTACATGACAGTCAAAAAAAAAAAAAAGAATTGGAGAGATGGCTCAGTGGTTAAGGGCACTGATTGCTCCTCACGAGGACCTGGGTTCAATTTCCAGCGCCCACATTTCAGTTCACAACTGTCTGTAATTCCAGTTCCAGGGGAGCTGACGCCCATGGCAAAACACCAACGCACATAAAAACAAAAAATTGGGCCTGTCGGTGGTGGTGCACACATTTGATCCCAGCACTGGGGAGGCAGAGGTTGGCGGATCTCTGTGAGTTTGAGGCCAGCCTGGTCTACAGAGTGAGTTCCAGGACAGCCAAAGAAACACACAGAGAAATCTTGTCTCGAAAAACATAAGTAAGTACATAAATAAATAGGAAAACTAACTAAAGAGAAAGAAAACAAGAGACTTTTGGGTTTCTCTGGAAACAGACCTGTGAACAAAGCTTGGTGGTCTAATTCCAGGAAATGGCCAAGAAATACAGAATATGCCACAAAAATCTCCTGCCTCTGGTCTCCTTGACCGCAGAAGAAAAGTCCCTGGAAATCCCATACGGGAGGCGACAGCAACCAAAAGATTAAACCACCTCTGGTCCCTACCAGCTGGCTGGCGTGGGTTTCTTCCCTTCTAAGCTTGGCCTAGAAACTCATATTTTATTCATGAAAATTGAGGCCCTGGGAGGCCTTGGCATAAACAGGATGTAAATATTTGCGGGCAGTTGAAGGAGCAGTGATATCTGAGCAGGGGCTGTCCAAAGCTAGGGCACTGAGACAATGCTTACTTTGTCACCCACCCACCTCCACCTCTGTTAAGGTTGAGGGTGGAGGACTGAGCCGGAGGGACTGGCCTACTGCTTTCATTGTTGGGGTGCTCGGAGCTGGAGCTCAGGTTTGTGATTCCAGTGTCCTTGAAGTGAACTCCAGGATACTGTTGAACCTTCTCTTGCATTCTGTCCTAACACCCCCGCCCCCGGGGGGTTCCCTTTCCCCAGCTGACTCAGACTCCCAACTGTCTCAGCATCCTTGTTCCCACCCC